GCCTGCTAACTAAAATGACTCACCTTAAAACGGTCTTAAAGAGACCACGGGGCTTATGGTGAGCTTAGAAGTTCACTGCTGCAAGAAGTCTTGCAACATTGCCTACTGCTCCAGAGAATCGGTAACCGTACATCCGCCTTGGCCGTGATTCCCCCGCAACCTTGCACTGGAACCTTTCTCCAGTTCCCATAGTGAACACATATAGTCATTTTCCCCTCCCCCAGCCCAGGGCCTCACCCACTGGAGAATCAGTAGCAGCACTGTGCCCCCACTTCCTTTGGTGCCTGTTCCAGGTCTCCCTGCCTGGGAATGACCACCCTTCCCACAGCTCTTCCCTCAAGGCTTTGCCCAAAGAGCTCCCCAGCTGTTCCCAAGGAGTCCCACGCCTGCTCGGGGGCATCCACCCTCTTGCTTCTAGGCTCAGCTTCCCCTGGCTAAGCTAGATCTTCCCCTTTTGCCTTGGGGCCACTTCCTGGGCCTTCCACCCATCAGGGTCCTCACCAACAGTCCTGTTCCTGCTCCCTCCCCAATTCTGCTCTCTCCACTGGGTCGCCTGAAGCTCTTTCCCAAGCAACACCTGCTAGCTCATCACTGTTCCTCTCTCTCGGGGGCGCCTCACACCTCCAGTGTCTGATTCCTGTCCTGGCTCATGGGGCCCTCTCTTAAGCCTAACTGGAAGGTTTCTGACATATCACAGGGGCACTGGACCCTGCTCCTCCTTAAAGGGGACAGTCACCAACAAGCCTAAAACCCTGAGCTAGCTAGATGGGTTGGGCTGGCCATTGGAGGGGTCTACTCTACAGCCCAGGAGAAGGGTTGCAGGTTCATATCACAGCTGGCTAATTGGGTGGCCGTATGCACCACTGACTGATGCTGACACTAAGTGCTGCTCCGCCTAGGTGGCTCCAGCTATCAAGGAGCGGATGACGAAGAAAGGGTCCATGATGGTGGGCTACCAACCCCTTGGCAGCAAGGTCAACTTCTTCCGCCAGGTTGTCACAAATCCCGTGGTCACCAAGCAGGACTTGGACTTCTTCCTGGATGAGATCGAGAGACTGGGCACAGATTTGTAGGGATCTCATGCCCCCCTCCTCACCATCAGCTCCTGGCAGGTCTCCCAGTGATGGTGGGACATCACATCCACTCCTGCCCATGGTATCCTTCTCCACAGCCTCCAGCAGGCACTACCATGATAACACAATTCACCAGAGTTCAGGTGTTCAGATGCTGGCCTCGCCCACATGTCCTGCGTAGACATTACACCAGAGAGGAACTCAGCTTTTGTACTTCTGTCTAGCAACTCCCTCTCTTCCTCTCCTGGGTCCTTTTGAGAGAAGGGACATTGTGAAGGCCCAGAAGAGGGTAGCACCTGAGGTTACTGAAAAGATGGTAGCATTCTTCTTGAGAATATCAGCTAGCACATGATTCCAGAGCTTTCCTTTGGCTGTGACCTGAGGCAGCTCCAGTAAGACTCCGTGGGGACTTGGGTACATCTTGGACAAGTTGGAAGAGGATGCTTATCTTGGATTCTGGAGGTGGACATTTCAGCCCCAGCCTGCGGACAAGTAGAACATCAACATCTGGTGCAACAGACCAGGGTCTGGGATGTACGCCCAACAGACACAGCTGATCACGTAGGAGGAATGGCGGTTGTGGGGCAGTCCACACGTGCCCTGGAGATGTACTGAGCTGTGTGGAACTGTCACAAAGCTCCACCTGGATTGCCTCCAAACAGCCTTTTCAAGTCAAACGAAACTGCCGAAAGCCGCTTCTCAAGCTGCTACCAAGCGATCGCGGTTCTCCTTTGTCGTTCCTCCCCTGCCCTTAACAGCACTCTGGCCTAGGTACTGTATTTGTGATTCATTTAATTAAGCGCATGATGTCAGTTCTTAATAAATGCTTGGTAAATGCTCCCCCCCCCCAGCATTTCATAAGCAGCACAGTAGTAAACGTTGGCTTTTGGTTTTAGAGCCAAACCACTGCTACGTTTGTTAAATCGCCATACCAGCCCCCCGCCCCCCATATTGTATTGCACTTGCCTGCTAACTAAAATGACTCACCTTAAAACGGTCTTAAAGAGACCACCGGGCTTATGGTGAGCTTAGAAGTTCACTGCTGCAAGAAGTCTTGCAACATTGCCTACTGCTCCAGAGAATCGGTAACACAACTTATAGCTGGAGAGACAGCATGGTCCAGTGGCTAGAACACTGCCCTGGGACTCTATTCCCAGCTCGCTCTCTTTCTGTAGCTGTGAATGAGTCACTTCCCCTCCCCGAGCTTCAGTTTCCTTGTCTGTGAAAAGAGGACAATGAGACTGACCTGCTTTGAGATCTATGCGTTGTCTGAGAGCTCATAAGAACAGCCAGACTGGGTCAGACCAATGGTCCATCTAGCCTGGTATCCTGTCTTCTGACAGCAGCCGGTACCAGATGCTTAGAGGGAATGAACAGAACAGGGCAATGATTGAGTGATCCAGTCCCAGCTCGTGGCCATCAGAGGTTCAGGGACACCCAAAGCATGGGTTGTGTCCCTGACCATCTTGGCTGAGAAGTTCATGGAGGATAGGTCCATTAATGGCTCTCATTCCTTTTGGACCCCAGTTACCCTTTTGGCCTTCACAACATCCTCATCTTTTTGCAGCTCCCGGCCTGCTTGCTATCTGTCCTCCTCTCTGCAGCCAGCTCCCTCCTTGCTCGCTATCTGTCCTCCTCTCTGCAGCCAGCTCCCTCCTTGCGCGCTATCTGTCCTCCTCTCTGCAGCCAGCTCCCTCCTTGCGCGCTATCTGTCTTCCCATCTGCAGCCAGCTCACAGCTGTTCAGGCTTCTGCCTCCAACCATTTTGCTCTCATGTAGCCTCCCTGTGTGCCCCCATGCACCAGGTTGGGGTCCGGGGGGGGGGTATACAGACCCCCTGCTGGCTGGATGTGGTATTGGCTTGTGCCCGCACTGAGAGCCAAGGGGTTCATGCTGGCACTTTAACACGTTGAGGTGGGGGAACCGCAGCTTTAACTTGACTCGAGGCCTCATCACCACTGGGCATTTAGCTAGGGTTACCATACGTCCGGATTTCCCCGGACATGTCCTCCTTTTGTGTGCTAAAAATAGCGTCCGGGGGGAATTTGCAAAGCTCTCACAATGTCCGGGATTAGCAGAGAGTGGATCGGGAGAGTCGATA